ACACTGAAGTACATACATACGTATGCATGCATTGCAATCAGTCCATTACGAAGGATGTACATAGTTGGATGAAATCGAAGCGACTTTTCTTTCAGTCTTTCTGGAGTGGTATTTGAGTGGCATTCTACAAATCTGCGGATTATTATTAGCTGATGTATATACGTACTTTATGGAGTTATTGTCACATTATTATGAATTCAAGGTTTCGGTTTAGTCGTTGGAGTTGCGTCTGTTCATTTTTTCAGACGTATTTCATTTGCATTCTCCTTCTGTTTTATTAATATTCAACTGATTTTCTTTAATTAGTGACCAAATTACCATATTTCCTATTCCAGCATTCACCATCGAGCATGCACACAAAAGAAATGCGTTGTGTTCAGAGGTTTGGTCTGCTGTTGCATAAATTACATACATGCACAGACATAGATATTTATTGAAAGTGAGAAAATATATTTCCTTCTAAATCAACTTCTTCGTGCGTCCTACATAAAATAGTTACAGGAATGCATCAATATTTATTATCTATGTACAATTAAACGGGTGGGATTGTGTCACCTGAGGATACGGCATGAATAAAATAGTATACGCAGATAAATATTTAATTTTTGTGGTGCACGCCAGGGCGTATTTAAGCAGACTCCTGGGTTTCTAATCCTACTACATATAAAAGACAAGAGATAAGTAGAACGCGTAAAGTACTTTACAAAAATAAATAATGTAGGTGGTTCAAACCGAAGAAAGTTGAGCATCGCCATGAAAATCACCCACAATATGTTTCTTTCCCTCCAGCCAGCTTACTAAATACTTTTTAATGAGCTGACTTTGCTGTCCTTTTCGAGTTTTAGTAAAAGATTCGTCTCGTTCTACTTAAGTTTACAAAACTATTGTCTATCGTTCTCGCCTAATGTTTCTAATGTTGGGAACCCTTGGCAAATATTTTGAAACGTGTGCATTAATCTTTCCATAAATTCTACATGCAAAATTTCAGCTTTGTATGAGGATACGTTAGATAAGGATTAGGGAAAACGACTCACTTTTTGTTATGATACATGAATTGCGGTCAAAACGGGGGCTAACTTTTCGAATTTGCGTTCCTTCTGATACACGGAAGGGAAGGGACTTTGGTGGTGACTGGTCACCAGTTAACATTTTTCGTAAGAAGGGGGAAAGTTCTTCAAAGGTTTGACACAATCCATATATTACAAAAAGTGAGTCCTTTCCCTGTCCCTAACCCTTGTGATAATAAAACCGTAGCTCACAGAATAGAAATCCAGCCGAAAGTCCATCAATCGGATAAGTTTGGACAGAGTTATCGCGAGACGGACATATAGAAGGAGAAGACAATTACATAAGCCCAGGCTCTTCCTAAAAATTGATATATCTTGGCAATTGATAGGTGCTTGTGTGCCTATACATTTTTTAGGATACATTGTGAACAATTTGCAATAAAAATATTTCCCTTTAAATGAATCGAAATTGGTTGCGAAACAAATCCATCATGAACGTTATCCTTGAGACTTGACTTATCAAATTAATTTCCGTAGCTGCTTGAGCAAAATTGCCTAGATTGTATTCTGTTGACTACCTAAATTTTATCTTGGTAATAACCTACAGGTACTTAAAAAGTCGAATGCTAAGGATTCTTAATTAATGTCTGTCATTGTATCTATAATCAAGAGTGCGATCAAGTTTCGCAACCGGAAAACTTTCAATGTATGAAACTTATTTAACAACCCGAGTAAACATAATTAGTTGAAATGCGAAAACAACTTTACAAAATTATTTAATGAAATCATTTTACGTACATACTACGTATATACATCAGACTATAATTCTAGCCCGGGCTCCCCTATCCCTGGCCCGGGCTACTTGCATTACGAGATAGGCGGTAGCCCGGGCTAGAATTATAGTCTGATATACATTACAATTTTGTGACTAAACTATTGTCACCAGACGAGTTACCTGTTATAAATTTAAAGATTTCCTCTTTGAGCGACTTTTCCCCTTTCTCCCTCATATCACAGGGCTAATCTTATTCCGCTGTACATACGAGTGCAAGTTACATCACGTCTATTTTGCATTACTTCATAAACTTTCAAGGACTATTCAAAGTTTTTCCATTGGTTGAATAAGTCATCAGTTATTCATACAAGCAAACTTCCTGAACGTGGAAAGTGCTTTCGTATGTTGAAAAATAGAAATTATTACAACCAACTTCAAGCATTATAGCACTAGACAATCGTATTTCAATTCTCGAAATAAACCCTATTAAATATTACATTAGCATTTTGCAGGATGATTTTTATGGGATGTGCGACCTCCGCTCGGATTTATTATCCTTCCGGCTCATCTGTATTATGACAATGAATTGACATATTATTGGCGAATATGACAATTCATCCAGCCACACGGGGATCGTGTAGTGAACCTGAATAATTAGCACTACTGGCGGTCAGAGAGTCATGATGCAGTTTCTATTCGAGTACTGTTTTTATTGCCTAGACGTCGTGGCTGGTTTTTATTTCTGTGCATACCAATGAGTGATTGTTGTAAATATGTTTGTGCAGAGGTAGGTACAGGAAGTCATATTGTGCCGGCAAGCAGTAATGGAAATTGTAATAGTGAGCAATAGCAAAGACCTTTGGCTTTTCTGCCGTAGAGTTAAACCTGAACTCACCTTTGCCAATAAAATCTGAAGGACGTTCATGTCTCACTTCACTCAAAAAATCTTCTCCGTGTGTGTGCAAGGGTATAATAGTAGTCGCTTAATAATGATGATGGCAAAAATATTTTGCATGTTACAGTGGAGCACAATAGCTTTTGGCTTTGAGAATTTGGATTGTGACCAAACCAGAGCATTCTGGTAGCGTGTAAAAGTATTTCTTGTGCATTACCTCGCGAATGCACACCATGCAATTGGATAGTGCTAAATGAACTATGTAGTGTTGTAGGACTATGATGAGGCGCTATTTTTGCATTCTCGTATTGTTTTGAACCCACGTCGCTGAAAATATGTATATAAATATATTGCATTATTACTGTGTGCCTTTTGAAGTTTGCGAGTTCGGCAAACCGATCAGGGTGAACGAATTCCCTTTGACGAGCATTTTCCGTGTTTATGCGCATTACTTAATTCCTGGATTTGCTTGCCATTACAATTGTTGTTCAACATATGTACATACGTACGTTCCTATTTCCACCTTTAAAATTTAATTGCTAATAATAGTTTAATTTGAGTGTGACCAACGAGTTTGAAGACGGCATAATGATATTGATGTTGTATATTTACAAACAACTATAGTTTATTGAGTTGAGTGCTCTTTCTAGTTTGCTATCCTAATTGGCGCTGATTTTAATTAATACGTTGCGTTGGTTCAGTTTTAACCCAAAGCATCGGAAAGATTTGATGATACATGCATATTGATTGAGTTATGTAAGAATGAATTGGTTAGTGATTGAGTATGAGATCTTATTTATCTTCTGTCATGGTTTTTGCAACGAGATCTACCGTGTGTTGTCCCTAAAGCGTGTGAGTGAAACTCAATTATCCAATGTGGCGAGCGTTACAATTTTTTGTTATAAATATCAGCACTACAATCTCCCACAACAGGATGTATTCACTCGCATTCGGTTGTCTTGTCTGTTCCAGAGGTCCACCCATCCAAGAAAAAAACTTGAGCCCAAGAAAAAGTGTGTGCACGGCATGAGTCGCATAATGAAGCCCAACTTTTATATGCATGATACAATGTAGGATCTCACTTGATTGTACATATTGTGCTGGGAGATATGTACGTAGTTGGTTGGTTAGTTTAGTTTGTAGGTGGATAGTTTTATCCTGCCAGATAAATTATAACTGGACAGGTGAGCAAACGAGTAAAAAGTTGTTGTCCGGCCAGACCACCAAAAATGTCGACTTGTTGAAGAATGCGAATAAATATTTATGCTGTTACTTAATTCTCATCCCTTGGGTGGAATAATTTTGTTGCCAGCCTTATGTACCAAATCCCCACATACATTATTTACCTCTGCCATTTGGATCTTATATATTGTGAATTCTTGTCTTGTTGCAAATAATCCGTTTGGAAGAATTTTGAAACCATTTTTTGCCACAACCTCCAAAATCTCATATTTCCATAACGTGTCGTCTTATATATGTGTGGAAGAATAATGGTAAGCGGATTAACGAAACTGCAATCCTTGCATGTGCGCTATGTATGCGGAGTGAGTACGATGCCTGAGCGTTATTATTCTGCGGCCTGAAAATAATTCGCTTTTTGTTTGCGTGGAGAATGTAGTGCCCGAGGCAATAAAAGTTCTTGAATTCATCACACCAACAGCCATCAAATAGCAGGTTGCATGGAGATAGTTTTTTAGTGGTAGCAGGTTGGCTGATTAGACGCTGGATGTAAATTGTAATCAGGGATGTCTTGTGTGCAGGTATTATATCGGGGGGTAAGTTTTAGCCAGGCTAGGCTCACCAACTTGGCACAGGTAGTTTTAGTTAGTTTGGCTGGTTGGTTCTTGTGAGCATGAAGAGGAGTGTCGAGGAGAAGGTGGAGATGCAAATAATAAAATCCCCTGCCCATGCGAATATATATGCGATATATACATATTCATCTGTGTAACATGCATTGAGGTTTGACTGGTTGTAGGAGTATTTAACTTTAACCAGCAAAGCAACCTGATCAAAGATAGCCTCATCATGGCACTCAGGCAGCAGCATCAGCGTTGTTAGGTTAGGAGCAAGCCATGTGAAATTCCCTTAAAAATGCTCTGTGCGAAAAAGCTCAAGGTCAACCCGGGATGGATGTTCTAACTAATGCTAACTAAGCAAAGATGTAACTTTGGCGAGAATGGCCAACGTGGAGTGTACATATTCTACCATTGAACTAATCGTAACGCTCACGAGGTTGTTTAATACGTACGTATTCATGCTTCTCTTTCGCATCTCCTGTGCATGAAAAATGTGTTGTGTTATTGCAAAAGGGAATTCAACTCTCAGAGACCAACCAACTCTTCTCTTTTTAGTCAACACTAGTTTATCCGAGTCCATTGGTCTTATCGTACCACAAACACAAATCCCCACACTCGCTCTTCTCTTGTGCTCCTTACTTACTTTCCCAGATTTGCAAGTTTCCAGTCTTATTCATCCCACTCTTGTTGCAAAATACTTTGGATGGATAACCAAACCAAGTGCAGGATAGATAATACTTATCGCATAACCATCTTATTGCATAAGTAGCATGGTTTTGTCTCGCTACTTAACAAGACAAGTCTCATCGGACCTCGCATGAAAGAAAAGACTTTGACCAATACGACTACCACTATTGTGTTAGGTTATAAATGTGAGACAGGATCCGGGTAAAAACGGATCGGGGAATGTGAGGCATGTGGAGTAGGAGAGTTGCAATACCGACCGACCTCAATATTGTGGCATGAACTTCGGATAACAGAAAACAGCCAACGTTAACCGGAGCAGTTGAGTCTCGTCGTCGTCGTCGTGGGTGAAAACTCTGGTTCTCAGTGTGCATTGGAAGTCCGATCAGTGAATTTGCGACCAACGCTATTCTGTTACTTACTTGGCTATTGGTAGCTTCTTGGTGCATGTGTGTATATGGTTTATTTTCTCGAATTGTTGGCTGGCCCGGCTTTAAATAGTGAATACAATTAACTCTTGTGTGATATTAACCGGTGTGCTTATTTTACATACGTTCAGTCAGCACTACTGCTGCAACCCAGACTAAGCGTCGTTCGTGACCATTGTTGAGCAAGACTTTTGACTTTACGGAGAAAGAGAGTGAAACAAGACGTACAAGAGAAAATTTATAGTCAACGGAACACTTGTTATTTGTGGAAATAAATAGGATAAGCAGCTTTGGCTGGCCTAATGGTGTGGAAGACTATTTTGAATAAGCCCTACTACACCTATGCAAAGAACAGGAAGAGAATTCCTAATCGAGATTATTTTGATTTAAATCCGTGATTGGATTCATCATCAGTTTGGAATTCTTTGTTTATCAGAGTTGCGAAAGAGAGAAAAAACCCACATTTAAAAGGAGAACCAAGTTCAATGCGAATGTCACAGAACTCAGAAGTAGGTTTGATATCATTGTAAATACATAAACACGCAGTCCTCTTCGTTTACTGACCGACGGAGCCCCGTTTATTTTCCTGTGAATTATTGATGATTAGCTCCAAGTGGTTTTGACCGATGAAAATTTAATGAGAATCGGCTTCTTCACCAAAGTTCGCGTCGTCGACACAAAAATTGCAAAATTACTCAATAAAGGCAATTTTCAAGTTTATGCACATGATTCGCAGTTTTCCCTCCTATTGTTCTGTCGCAAGTTCCATTTGTTAATTTGTCTTAAATACTCCTGTACCTAATTTGACCCCGTTGACTCTACAAGGCCGTTACTAATAAAGGCTGAATAACGTACCAACTAGTTAAATCATCACTTTATACAAGATTCTCTGAGTACCTGTACCTGCTACTACCACATGTTATCATAGCATTAGAAATTTCACTTTTAATTCCAGTTTAACTAGTCAGTCAAACGAAGGAGGAAATATATATTAATTTTTTTTGGGATTTCCATTACATTGACACCACTGTGATGTCTGTGGTTAGGTATTAGTCAGGTCAAAAAGTTGGCGTACATATACACGCATAGTCTTAAATATTATATTCCTAAGAAATGGTGCTAATTTTTACACTTCAACAACGGAAAGGAAACGTATTGGCTAATACATTTTTATGATTAATCCCTAGAGTCATTTGTGTCGAGTATCGTTTATACTTATCAACGTGTTTTATCCCATGTGAAAATCGTGATATGGATCAAAATATATAAATACACAGTTAAAAGACCGAGCCATAGATATTTATAAACAAGGAAGGAATCAATAAAACTGAATTTCAATTGTTTCTTGCTGCAAGTTTTGGTCAGCTTTGCTGACCATATAATCTACGAAAATTGATTTTATATCGTATTCCGTCGGGCTTCAGCCTATAAAAAATTCTTCAAAAATTGCTACCAAAGTCTTTAACCTGTCGAAAAAACAATCCGCCAAGATGCGGAAAGAGAAACCAATGATGAGTGTCACTGCAATTATACAAGGATCACAAAACCACTGTTACCCCAGATCCAGTATGACACGTAAGTGAAGATCTCCAGCTATCTCTAACCTTACTACATAAGTCTTTGTTCATGCTAAAATATAGTACATCGAAGCAATTAGTTTATGTCATCACCATATTCTGGGGATTATCGTAGCGTCCTGCTCTCTCTCTCTTATTTCTGGCATCTGGTCATAGCGCAGAGGTCAAGGTCTCGTTGATTACTTTGCAACCGAGAACACGTCGATATCTTGCTGAAAGAGGCAATGAGCGATACATACGTTGTTGGCAACTACTTATTTAATATGAAGCCGATGCCCAAGCTATGCTCGCATAATACTCCGGCAAATGTATGTCTGCATGTACATAACTGAAATTGCGAATATGAATGAAATTTATCAGTGTGTGTAGTGAAACAGCGGAAAAATGGGATCATTTATCAATGTCTTTAACACAAAGAGTGAATGCTTTATTTTAAGACAGCGTCAAAGTCAGAGGCAATCCAGACAACGTGTTAGACCTTATTGATTGGGTCTTATCGATCGATCACCACCGTTTTGTACAAATAGTTTTTCTCGTTTTTATTGTGCTCAAAATTTATAGAGAATGTGTTTTACTTGGAGTGTATCATGCAAGCCAATAACACAACATATCTGATAATGGCATGGCCATGGCCACTATGAATTCATACATAAGTTGATGAAACACTTTGTGTTTTGAGCAGAGTCGGTGAACTTCAACTTGATGAGACTCGCCACTCGCCTTGTTACATCATCGACATTCAACGATTTTAGAACCAAGAAAAGTGAGGCGTGAATATTGACACAAAAATGTGTAAATCGATTTCCTTTTCACTTTACAATTATTTCCTTTCATGTCGTAATATTTTCGTTAGCTATGTACTTTTCACAAGTAATCAGTTGTCTCTAAAAAAAAGTTACACATAGAACTTACTCGTACACCGTCATCACTCAGTAGGGATCGTGATATTCTGGAGAGGATAACGACCTTACAACGGACGGATAGGGTATTCCGCAGTATTTGTCCCAAAACCTTTTACTTTACGCCGACTACCTATCACCCACTCTATCACCCACATGGTGCATGTCAAGGATTGCCGAGTTTTACGTTTTAGCTGCTAGGACTAGGATCTCACACCACCAACATATCTGGACTGATAGGATAGAGATACTTGTTGGACTTGGTTCTTTCTGAGGGCTATTTTTATTTCCTTTGGGAATTGACCGATGATTGTCAATCTGACATAACAAGAATTCTGCGTGTTTTCTCTGTTTGGCAAAAATTGCTCGAGTCTGATCCTATCTCTCGTTAAATAGAATGAATGAACCATGTTCACACATTGCTATCATGTCGCAAAGTCCAGAATTGAATACCAAATATCGCCTCTTTCTCGTCATTTCTGCAGATTTCTCTCAATCGAATGATCTTGCACAAGCTACGTTGGGGAATACTCCCTTTGTTCATCCTTTTATATCTACAGGCTCAAAGGAAATAGCGGTGCGATTATTATTTATTTTTCCTACTTACTCATGTACATCAACATCATCGTAGTCTGTCTACGGTGGAATGAAATTCGACAAACCGAGAAAAGTCTCGTTCGGATGTTCTTTCTTCGTTCATGGTCATGTTTATTTCATGATTATTTTGTACGCTTTTATTCAATGCGTATCTTAATGCAGGAAAATTGTGAAACTGATTGAAAAGCACACTTAGCAATTCCGATGAATACAGTAAAAATACAAAATTTTACATAGTTGACAAATCTTGAAATCTTTCGATCTTGTTCTATTGTAATGGTGAGATACATATTTCGCTTTAATTTACTCCAATGTGTGCCTGAAGAGAATGGAAATGACGCTCAAACTTATAAATAATTTATATATACTTTTAAAGTATAGACGATCCAACGATTATAAAAGCTACTGCTATGTAAATAATGCAACAGTATTGTTTCAGTGTCATCCTTACTTGTTTTATAAATAATTCGTCATCTTCTGAATGCATCCGTTTGAAAAAAATGAGTGGAAATTGTTCTGCATTTATATAGGTTGTTACTGCAACTGGTGCATCTCTATTATTTACTGATGTAAAATAAATGTAATTTTAAATAATTACTTTCATAGTTTCATTGCACTACTGTATTGCATTGTGGATGGAATGCACAGAGGAATGTAGAGTACAACACCAGACAGACAGCCATAATAGTTTCAACCACAGAGCTGTATATATAAATTTTAATGCAACTTCCTGATTGTTATTTGGAACATATTTAGCTCTCTGCTCAAGGTTGAAAGTTAATCCATGCAGAGTTTATCTGTCTGAAGGCCTAGCAGGTCTAGAGTTTATTAAACTGCAGGAAAGTTGTTGGAAATCTGCATCATGAGCAAATAGCTTAAGTGAATTAATATTTATTCCGTTCCAGCCTCATTACTGAACCATCTCTAGATTGTCTAATCAAAAGTAGTTTATAGGGTTGAAGGTTGATGAATGAATTAATATGACTGATTTTTAGTTTCTCATGCACCCTATTGTTTTGGGAAATTATTATTAGATAGCACTGCTGGATTAATTCACTCGATTATTTTGGAAATGAAAATTTACAAAAATAATCTATCGATTGTTTATTACTTTTTAAATTTTATGTGAATTTTACATCTACAAACTTAATTTAACTTTGCGTCTTTTCGTCTGGCTCCTAGGATTCGCTTTAATGGCAGGTTCTGAGTCATTCGCCATAGCTGAAGACGTACGTATATGTGCAAGATATATGTTTTACACGTATGTAATAATGAGCCATTAACGTTTGCCTAGCGAGGAGGAGGTAAAAAGAGAACTGCGTAATCGTAATCACCGGATAGCCTGAGGCGTAATGTGCAGAAAAGCATGGGAAAGGTTGCACTACGTTTCGGGCATTCAACTCTTCTTCTGGAAGGATACGCAAATTATGAAGCGTGCATATGTACACAGATACCTATGTGAAAATAGCAGCCCACCTGAGTCCAATTCATCGTGATCATGACATTCACGCGTTTAAAGAATTTGAATACGAAATTATTTATGAATTAACCTTTGTTGTGTACGTACATATGTGCAAGCATCATGTCGAACGTAGTATTTACCTACCGAATGCTAGCTCCTTATTGCAAGTGCAAAGATTTGATGATTAAATTATATTTTTCAAGGAAAGCATTATTGGCATTGGTTATGATGACACAAGACCTTGTACTCGATATGTCGTACTGCTAAAAAAAGAAAGCAAATACAATTATCCAGTGTTTGCTGTCAGATATTGTATGACAAGTCTTAGTGGAATATTTGTAAACAAATCTGACCGAGACAAGAATTGTCTTTAATACTTGATACTTGTGAGAACTGTAGTCAAAACAATCCCGGTGTACTTTTCCCTTCAAGTCTTGTTTTTTTGGAGCAAGCATTGTCACTCGTTCAGAAAGAAAGTGAAAGTTTATCATGACGTATCTTATCTTGAAGTGTTTTCATAAATACGACTCGAGGAGATTCTCTTTTCACACTGACTTAACTTTCAAGACAATAGTTTCTCCATTTGTTAATAATAATTGGTATTATTTATTACGACAAGCCAGAAGTTAGGAACAATGAAGTACGGGATCTGTAGGACTTGCCTGTAACAAAGCATGGTTTCTATCTCTGTGATGGAATGAGGGCAGTCGGTAAATCAATAGCAAGGCAAAGTGCTACTCCTGCAGCTCTGCCCCCATTTCACACTATCACTGCTACCCGAAGGGACAAATGGCACCATACCACACAGTCTTGAACTATGTATCAACTACAGTCATTGGCCTTGCAGAGGAGAAAGCAGGGAAATGTGGTGGTGGTGGTGGCTGTAAGTGAAGAATGGCTCTGTTGGGGAAGGGAAAGGAAAGGCCAGAAAACGGGACCAGAATGTGCTCAGAGCAGTCATTTGCTCATTCTGTATACGCTCTACTTCCATCCAAATCTTCTGCCATTGCTACTGCTGGGAGGAGGAGGAGGAGGAAGCAGTTGACCTAGTTTAAGGCTCTCCATTCTAAAAAAATAGGTCATGTTTTGCATCTGCACAGAGAGCAAGCAAGAAAACAGCCTACTTTCTAGGATTAGCAGACTAGGCAACACTCAGAATCACAGTATGGAAACTATTGTGATAATTCGTCCTCTTCTTTACAGATGTTCAGCACACCTTAGTTTGTTTTTCAAAAAAGTAATGGAAAGTAGTAATGCAAACTGAGGCTGGTATTTAAGTATGGAGTTGTTTGGTAGACATAATCGATGTAATAGTGAGCATTAAAAATATTCAGTTTCGGAGTTGGATTTCGAGGTCAATGTAAATTCGCGATAAGGACATGTTTTCGGATGGCAGTGATAAAAAATAAGACAAACTGCAACTGTTAGTCTTGGAACTGGGTCTTTGCTCCATATTTTGAAGGCTGCAAATAACGAAACTATGTTGGATGTGACCTTTCCGAGAGAGAGGCGAGAACGAAATTCGCATTGGAAAGAAAAGTGCTGCTTCTGGGGAAATGAATAGGATTTTGCCGAGTCAACTTTTGTATACGAATGGCTGGCCCTGGCTGACGTCACTACTCACACTCTGGCCAAATACCCGATTTCGGTACTCGCTATGTTTTTGGAGAACATTTACTCGGAAAGGTTACTTACCCTTCCTCCTACTTGCACCCGATCTCATCTCATCTCGTGCTGCATCACTCATCATCACTGACATTTCATTATTATAGCAGAATTGGCTGTCTCCTATATTACAAAGTTTTCGGGTATTCGGGTCTGGAAATCAGATATGAAATTTCCTAGTATATATTATTTTAGAACTAATTGTCTATCTAAATGTGTATAAGTACTTATGTATATAGGATAGCGATACCATTATAAACTCTTTTGTACATACTCTGAGGATGTGTTTGGCGAGTTGCATGCGGAGAGAGAAAAAGCGATTGTTTGAATTTGACATAATTCTTCCTGATACTCAATTACTCAGGTGGTTTTGTG